AAAAAAAAAGGGGGGGGGGGGGGGGAGGGGGGGGGGAGAGAAAAATAAACGTTTAGATTTAGAGGCAATACTGAGAATTGCAATAGTAAAACCAGGTATGTTGAAGCTTGAATCAAAAGACCGGACAATAAGATATGAACGTTTCGTCTTAGAGCCTTCTTCAGCGAACACGACAAATAAAAGTACGACAGAAAACAGAGCACAGTTTAAAAAATTAAAAAATAAAAATGTATAGATATCCTTGAATGCAGTCCTTCAATTATTATCTGAGTATTGTAGGCCTACATCGGATTGTAAATATTATCCTTATTGACGCTCGAACCTTATACCGGTTGCATAGATTACTTTTAGAGGCGGTGACGTAACTAGGGTTCGTGCTGCCCAGGGCGGTTCAAGCTTTCTGACCCCCCTCTCCCCCATTCCACGAAGAAAAAAATGCAGTTGGCCGAAAATATGTCACCCATCAATATAAAGGAGAAAAAGCACCACCTGGGGGCGATTCCCTCCCCCCCCCCCCCCCCCCCCCCCTTCTATGCCATTCTTCCGAGGTCACTTTCATGGAAAAATATCTTATTCGTTTCCCTTTATTAGTTCCGTCTGTAAATCGTTCGTTAACATTATCCTTCTACGCCTTTCTGTCACTTGCATTCTTCTCCAATTCTCTATGAGTCTAAACGCATCCTGGGGACATGTTGACACATACCGAGAACTTAGTTTTTCATCTATCCGTACTTGATCGGAGAGCAACAGAAGAGTTGCTTGTGAAAACTTAGGGTATATGTCCAAAATGAGATTAGGCTACAAAAAACTTTTATTTTTTTAAGTTGTTACCAAATAGTAATGATGTTGTTTTTTGTTTTTTTTTAAATATAAGATTAAGATTTGCAAAACTTTTATCAGACCAGTTTTAACATACGCAAGTGAAACTTGCATCCTAACAAAAAAAGTGACAGAAAACCTATTCAAAACATGGGAGAGAAAAGTTCTCCGGAAAATATATGGACCAACAACGTTTGAATATGGGTGGAGAATACGAACCAACCAGGAATTGTACGTCTATATCAGGACACCACATTAGTACATTAGCAGGCTACACTGGGAAGGACACTTAGAAAGAATGCCGAATGACAGAAAAGTGAAGAGGGTACACCATCAACCCCCCCCCCCCCCCC